TACACTCTTATAGCTTAAAATAAGCTTAAGTTACACGTACTCAAAGTTTGTTTAAAACAAAAGAAAGATTTATATCACATTATTCCAGGGGTTCCCAAACTTGGTTCGCGGCTTGTTCAGGGTAAGCCTCCGGCGGGCCACAAGACACTTTGTTTACCTGAGTGTCCACAGGTACGGTCGCTCGCAGCTCTCAGTGGCCGCAGTTCACCGATCCTGGCCAACGGGAGCTGCAGGAAGCGGTGGCCTGGCCTGCACCGCTTCCCACAGCTCCCATTGGCCAGGAATGGCAAACCGTGGCCACTGGGAGCTGTGAGTGGACGTACCTGTGGATGCTCAGGTAAACAAAGCCTCTCGCGGGGCTTACCCTGAACAAGCCATGAACCAAGTTTGGGAACCCCTGCACTATTCTAACTGATGATCATTGTTGGGCAGAGGTCCAGAATAAACAGTTTAGAAATTTCTCTACCTGCCTTTTCAGAGATTATTTAATAAAGGTGACTTGCAAAGGTGACTTCCCTTTCTTAAGGGAATTTGCCCTGTTTTGCTTCCTTCTGATGCATTAAAAAATGTAAGGTTTTTTTCCTTTAGAAACTAAAGACTGCTTTAACTTTTTTTTAACCTTAGAAATATCAGGAGCATCAAGTCTTATTAGCCCTGGAGAATCTCAAGGAAGTACCAAGGATATTTATTCTAAGTTTTAACACCTTAAGGATTAATGTATTGAATGTTAACAAAATTTTCCTTTATTTATGCTATTAGTTACTGCAGTTAAGATGGTGTTAAAAACAAAAGTTTTTAAAAAGTCTGAGTCATTTTCACTTGCTAAATTTTCACTATCACCATTTCACTAATTTTCTAGTCTTCACAAGAGGGACTTCCAGCCTAGACAGGCCTTGAATTTCTAACATTAACAATTTGCTTGGGTGGCAGGGGACCTCAGCCCTTCTTCATACATCAAAAGACAGAAAAGGCACAAGTCTAATTTTTTAGCTTTTTGCAATTCCTTCCCTGCCAACTGGGCTGCATACAGTATTTTCGGCAGGCTAGCTATAGAACATTGTCTCCCTTCTTCAGTGAGTTATCTGAAACAGTACAACTACGCTATTGAAAGTAATATAACATATCTTTAGAGCCAGTCCATGGACATACTAGCTCCACCTTTTGTGGGTTCCCCCCAGCTTGTTGGCACCTTGCTAATGTGTCACATGCTGCTCCATCAGCATGGTGCACTTGCAGAATGGAGCTTACTAAAATATTGGTTAAATTCCACTTGCAACCCTGACTGCCAAGGAACTGAGGGGAAAAATTGCCTTAATACTCTGCCTGTAACTTTCCACAACAGGATCTCAAATCACAATACAAATACTGAAGAACTTGAGCATCACACAACCTCTGTGACGTAGTATTATCTTAGATATAAGAGGATGGATTAGATGATCCAGGAAGAGCTTTCTAGCCATAGGCTCTAAGTCTGATAGCTGCACACTCCAGTTTCAGGCTCATATTACTTTAATATCCAGGATTTCCTTTTTTAAATCCTTTCTTTACAAGGTACATACACCTAGAATCCATAGTATATAAATAGCACACATTTTGAAAACTCTGGTACCATTACTTACAGTAACTTATAGTCTCTACAACACTCATTAAAGCACAGTATCCTCAACAGTAAGATCATCATTAACAGACACTTTGGGGCACAGGAAACATTTCTATAATGTGTGTACCTATGATAGATTACCTTTGAGGGAATATAAGAGTATTTTGAGCTATTTATTGTCCTTACTCTGATCAATTTACAGAGCCAAAAAGAAAGCAGTTATTTTTAAGCATGTAGGGAATAATCCTGCATTCCTTAAGCACTCAAAACCACCACTCAGTCAAGCAATACAGTACCCAAAGAATGCAGGGTCTGTCCCCAAATGTGAATTACTGTACAGGGCTGCTTAGAACTCTTATACAGCAAGAGACTGAAGTTTTCCACAAACAGAGCAATTTATTAGATAATTTTTCACATTGTAGTTTTATGCATTCTGAAAACATCCAAGATAAGTGCTATTCACCACAGGTAAATAAGTTTTACAGTCAAACTGCTTGGGCAGGGTATAGCATTGTGTATGTGTCTAACACAATGAGGCTCCCCATCTCTGATTTGGGTTTCTCGGCACTATCACATTCGACTCAAATAGTCTGAAGCACAAGATAAAAATGTTGTAACATGGCTCCCCTACACATCATCCACTTCACCAATATCTCAAGCCTCCTCACTCAGCTCTTATACAGACAGCTCCACACCATCTTATGCATGGAACATCCTTCCTGAACTGATCCTTAGGGGTTACTAAGCTGTCCTACTTCAAATTCTTCCTCAAGGCTCACCTCTGCGGCAATGCCTAGACGAAAACTGCTAGTTAACAATGGCTAGGTTACGGGACAACTGGTAATAGACTTTAAAGAATACAAATGTATAAACACAGTATTTATAAATAACAATTTTAATTATATTCCTCTTTTCCTACCATTCATGTCACTTCTAGCCCATATCCAATGGCTTAAGGCAGTGGTTCTCAAACTATGGGGCAGGCTTCTAAAGGAGGCGTGAGCTGTATGCCTTTTTTTTTTGGAAGAGCTCTGGCTGTCAGACCCAGGTGCCTGGGCTTGTGCACGCCCAGGAGGCAGGGATAAAGGGAGCTTTGCCACCTGGGCTTAGGCTCTCCTCCCTCCCCACCCCCTTACTGCCAGGCAGCCCAAGTTCAGGATCTCCTTCTCCCATCCAATTCCTCAACTGGAGGCGGTGAGGCTCTGGCTGTCAGCCCCAGAGTGGAAGCAACAGTAACTCAGAGGGCATTCTGCGCCAAAAAATTAAAAATTCTGCACACAATATTTTAAAATTCTGCAAATTATATTTGTCAAATAAATGTGGAGGCATGGCATTGGGGAGCACGGGCCATTGGCTGCATAGAGATGAGAGATCACTTTGCACTCTCAGCACTGAGGCTGCACCCAATCCTGATACAACGCAAGTACAGGGCCTGCCCCCAGAAACACCCCAGGGCCCTCCCCCTCTGCTCCAAGTGCACAGGTGGGGCAGGCAGGCTCAGCAAGGCAGGATCCAAGTGTGGGGGGTTGCAGGTGTGGGTTGGGAGGGTTCTCAGTGGGACAATCTGGGTACGGGCGGCTCAGTGGGGGATCCGGGTGTGGGGGGGGATCCGGATGCACAGAGGCTTGTTGGAGGGTTCTGGGTGCAACGGTAATGGGACTCTGCAGTGGGGTCCAGGTGAAGGTGGTTGGGGCTCAGCAGGGGGATCTGGGTGTGGGGGAGATAGAGATCGAAAGGGGGGGGTCTGGGTGTGGAGGGGTCCAGATGCTGGGGGAGTGGGGTTGAGTGGGGTGGGGATCCAGGTGTAGCTGGTTGGGGCTCAGTAGGGTGGGAATCCAGGTGTGGGTGGCTCACTGGGGTGGTCCAGGTGTAGGGGAAAGGGGCTCATCAGGGGGATTCTGGGTGTGGGGTAGGGTGAGGGTCTGGGTATGAGGGGTTCTGGATACATGGGGGTTGGGCGGATGGGGGAGCAGCTCTCTGTATAGGAATCCCTCCCCTGCAGTTGCGGAGCGATGGGTGCAGGAAGTGCTTGTGGGTGGGTTTTGCACAGCTTCCTACAGACAGGGGAGAAACCTGGGGGGTAGGTCTGACCCAGCCCTGGATGCCGTGCAGGGAAAGAGGAAGTCCCGTCCTCCCCAACCCAGCCCGGACTAGCAGCTGACCCCAGTGCAGAGTAGGAGCCACCAGCCGGGTCTTCCCCCCAGTCCCACCCCCCACCCCACAGTGATTTACCTCTCTGCCAGCTGCCCTGGGCACCCAAAACATACTTCTGGGAAGGGTCGCACGACTGCTCTTGTGGCTTCCCCATCAGAAAGCCATTTTTCTGGAGGGGAGCAAAGAAATCTGTGGGAGACATAACTTCTGTGCAGAATCCCCCTAGGCGTAAGCAGTGCAGAAGTAAGGGTGGCAATGGGGCACTAAGTCTGCTGTGAAAAGTGATAGTGACAAATATCACTTTTCACGTTGGCACCTTTACTTCTGTACTGTTGCTGGCACTGTGCTGCTTTCAGAGCTGAGCACCCAGCCAGCGGCTGCTACTCTCCACTCTGCCTTCAGAGCTGGTGGAGATATATATCCTGGGGTAGAGGGTGGGAGAGGGGGCAGAAAATACTACAGATACAAAGAAGGGAGGCCTGACCAAATAAGTTTGAGAACCACTGGCTTAAGGGGTTTTGGACAAAGTCCTTAGACTATAAACACTTTGGGGAACGGACTACGTCTTCATGTGAAATTGCAATGCAACTAACACAATGGTGTCCTCATCTCTATTAGAGCCTCTTAACGGTATTTCAGTGTGTTATCTGATAATAATGAGGAACAGTGAGGTTAAATGACTTGCCCAGGGTTACTCAGTCTATGGAAGAACACAGGTCTCCTTCCTCCAACTCACGTGCCTTAAACACAAAACTGTCCACTTCCCTGAAAAGAGGCAAACTATGGAGGAGCAGAAAGGATGAGTGAGGGAAAGGGAAAGACTACCAGCCTACAATTTTTTTCCCAAAAAAAGAACAAAGGTAAATTAGCTTGTGTAGACAAATGTGTGTACTAGTATTTTTATGTATTAGCCTTCCTTTACCTGCACATACCAGTCCTCCTAAACATACATTCCCTCCCAAATAGGGTTACTCACCCAATTCTCTCCTCTTCCTTCAAAGGCTCTGAGATGACCCTCCTCCAGGTAGTAAGGATGGCTGCATTTGGCTTTCCACTGGATTGTGGAAATGCCATTTCAATCAGCTGGACAGAAGAGGGCTTGCTGGAGCAGTGTATTGCTGCATGAACCTTTTGGTCCAGAGAACTCAGCAGCCAGTTCTGACCCCCCACACATGGCAACACATTGTATTTCCACTAGAATGCTGGGCCTGATCAGAAAAATATAATTAATAAAAATATTACTTACGAAATGCAGCCAATCCCAGCATTGGAACCAACAAAGCATAATTCCATTTGTTTCCATCACCACCATTTTCCCTTGGATTAGGCTGGATATTCCAGTTTGGAGGATCATTTAAATTATTCATGGAGACACCTTTAGATTCACAGGGGGAAAAAAAAAGTCATGTCAGTGGTACCAATGATTAGGGGAGGGTGCTGATAGCAGTAGGTAACATGGACATGTGCACCTATTAAAACCATACCTAACACTTGGTTCAGGATTTCTATTTCAGATTCTGGATCAAACTGGAACTAAAGAGATAGATTTTTAACTGTAAGGGTAATTAACCACTGAAACAGATTACCAGGGAAGTGGTACATTCTCCATCACTTGGAGTCTTTACAGTATAGTCTAGTTCAACACAAGCTATTGGACTCCGTGCATAACCACTGAGCGTTCTATTACCTGTGTTATGCATACTGGTGATCAGACTAGATATCACAATGAACTCTTTTGGTATTAATCTTAATCTATCTATTCTTTGCTAATGAAATTACTTCCAGTCAGCAGACAAAGGGCCTAGCACCTCAGAAAGCCAATTTCAATCCTCAAGCATGGAAACAAGTACAATAACTAATCCATAAGGCCAGTACCTGTTCTTTGAGTCCCACTGCTGCTGTAACACATATAAAAACCCCACCAATTAATGATGCCTAAGATGGTGAGCAGGTGGAGATAACCGGCACTTTAGTAATTTTTAAAAACTTGAAAATGTCTTTTGTTGTGCTTTGGAGTAGACAACTAAAATAATGAAGCCTCAGTCCTACTGGTGGTCTCTGGACACTATGTTTGGCACTCTCTACCTCAAAGCAGCACCCTAGAACCCGCATATTCACCATCACATAATTATGATATGTTTTGTACAAAGTATGTCTTGTGAGGAATCATTTTAAAAGTCTTGATCTGTTGAACATTGATATCCTGCTGGATTGTATGTGCTATTATTGTATGTGAGGTTATGAAGTTTTGGTATGTGTGTGTGTGCACGTGTGAAATATGTTTGAGGTTGAGAACACCCACAACCAGTCTTTCAGGTAAAGCAATGAAGTAGCCAGACAAGCTGATGGCCCATTAAAGAGAATCTACACTCCCAGTTACCATCCCAGAAGACTTCTGAGAAAGCGCATCGTAGATAATGGAGAATGATTGACCAATGAGGGTGGACCCCCAGTCACAAGCACAGAACTTTCCAACAAGCTGGAAGAAACTATAAAAGAAGGGGAAGTGACATCATGACTTGGCCTCACTCCCAGCACAACTCAACATCTGGAAACACGTCCGGAGGACAAAGACTTTGAAAGCAGGAGGGTGGTCCCAGGCTGGAGGAGAGTTCCAGCCTGTGTATTGAAGTTTCCAGACTTGTTTGTACCATCTCTCAGGATGAGGCACTGCTTGATTCCAACCCCATTTACTTTATAGAACTTAGACTGTGAATTTATTTTATTCCTTAGGTAACCAACTTTGATCTCTAGGCTTATTACTTATAATCACTTAAAATCTATCTTTCTGTAATTAGTAAATCTGTTTTATATTTTATCTAAAACAGTGTATTTTAGCTGAAGTGTTTGGGAAATCTCAGCGCGGTTTACAATGGCTAGTGTATGTCCTCTCTACACTGAGGGAGGGGTGGACTTGGTAATGAACTTACACTGGTCAGGCTTCTAACCAGGGCAAGGCGGTACAGTTCTGGGGTACAAGGCTGGGAAGCTGGGGGGAACTGGCTGGAGCCTTTCTGTTGTTGGTTCATGAGTGAGTGGGAGCATTCATGTAACTCGATTGGTTGTGTCTGTGAAGGGTAAGTGCAGTGCCTGCCACAGGTTTTAGCTTGCCAACATCATCACAGTGTGAGAGGAAGCCCAGTTTGGGGGGGGAGGAGGGAAGCTCAGCAGTCCCATAGTTCAGGCTGCACCCGGGAACCCTGTCATACTATAGTCATATAAATAAAAGTAAAAGCATGAATCCAGATGTTATAAGAGTTGCCTTTAAGTGGAAAACAAACTGGGTTATTGGTTAGTTTTGAGTTGCTTTCTTCTTGTAAGACCAAAAGTTTCAACTATCCACCCACCCTCCCTTCAAAAAACACAAAGCTGATTCTTCCTTTAAGAGTGTTGAAAGTAAGATGTGTATTCCAGGAATAATTAGCTACAAAGAAAAAAAAAATTGTCTATTGGTAAACTTATTTAAAACAGGGCTGCATTTGGCTCTCCATTGCAACACCACTCTTTTAATCAGCCAAACAAAAAAGGGGTTGTGGAGCAATAAGATCCTACCTGCTGCATCTGCAGTGCTCCATGAATCGGCCCAGAGAGTTTCCTGGTACAACATGAAATACAATTTAAAGTAGAATAGTGTGGAAGGAATTGCTTATACAGCTGAAGACAGTTAATTTAGTGCTTGTGAAAGATGTGGTCTTAGTGGGAGTCAAATAGACAGGCAAGTCCTTTGTTCATCCGTGGAACAGGTGAGTCGTGGGTACTGGCATGTGAGCTCCTCCCCCCACTCCCCACCACTGACCCAATTTGGCCATTACATTGTACAGAATTATCAAGGGGAAAGAGAAGTTCATCTCCATGCTATTTCAGACCTATGTATTTCTGTGAAGATTGTCAACATGGATCACAACTGTATTACAGTACAGACCTGTTTACATGCGAATCCGCTTAAAGCATGGTAGCGCCATGCCTCCCAGTGCTACCTATTTAACACGCGAGACTCATTAATACGCGATACAGGAACTTGCTACGTTGAGCTACAGATTTACTCATTAACTCACTGACATAGAAATCGACAGGAAGTGCAGAGCAGAAACTTGTTGTACGTCTTTATCGATATTGGTAAAGACGTAACACGCACGCTTAGACATTGTCATGCTAGAGAGATATATAATATATATACTACATTAGAAAATTTTAACTGTAGGCCTAATATAATGGCAGAGGGCAAGCGTCAGAGTTCCTACACTGTAGAAGAAAAGCTAGCTGCAACAGATGGAGTAAATAGTGGAGAAACCCAGGCCAAAGTTTCAAAAGATATTGGGATTGCCGAATCTACTCTCCGAGGATGGCTAAAAAACGAATCTAAACTGAATGGCTTTGTACAAAATATCGATTCTGCCATGGGGTTTAAACGAAAACATGTGAGCTATTCAGCAAAACCCACAATAGATAAAGCCATGCACACGTGGTTTGCTCAGAAAAGGCTGAAAGGAATGCCGCTTAAGTGGGCTAATTCTTCAAGCCCAAGAGACAAAATTTGGAAATTTAATGGGGGATGAATCATTCCAAGCCAGCAAGGGGTTTATAAGTCATTTTAAAAAGCTTCATGGCATAGCGCAGGTATCGATTTACGGAGAAAGCCGATCAGCCGATGAATTGGCCGCGAATGCATTTCCCACCGAGTTAAAATCTATTTTACAAAATGAAGACTACCACGCAGAACAACTTTATAATTGTGATGAAACAGCTTTATTTTCAAAACTGCTACCTGATAAGACTTTAGCCTTTAATTACGAGACACAGAAAACAACTGGATTTAAAAAGATTGTGTGACTCTTCTTTTTTGTAGTAATAAGATGGTCAGCCATAAGCTTGCCCCTCTTCTCGTTGGCCGCTTTCATAAGCCTCGCTGCTTTTAATCACCTCAACAGAGCCAAACTGCCAGTAATATACGCTAACAGCAAAAATGCTTGGATGACGAGACATTTTCGACGACTGGTTCCACAATAACTTTGTTCCAGCTGTTTGTAAGCTTCTGTGGTCAAAGAAACTCGAAGCCAAAGCACTTTTGCTACTTGACAATTGTCCGGCCCATCCTCCAGCTGAATCACTGGTATCGAGCGATAGAAAAATTCAAGTGCTATACCTACCATTCAACACAACATCAAAAATTCAACCTTTAGACCAGGGCATTATTCAGAATTTTAAGAACAGTTATCAGTGGGAGATGATTTTGGCGATCGTGTCATGCATGTCTTCAGGCATTTCCGAACTCCTGAAACAGTTAAACACGAAGGAAATTATTTATTTAGATAAAAAAGCTTGGGACGGAATAAAACAAAAGTCCATTGAAAACTGCTGGATGAAGGCTTTTGGTGATGCCTTTTCTGTCAAAGACAGCTCAGACTCGGAAAACTCCAGCAGTGGCACTGATTCAGAGCCAGACTTTGAAGGATTTTCAGAAGAAAATGTCCTACAAACATGCACACAGACAAAAGAGGATAACGGTAAACTTCTCTTTCAAATGATAAAAGATTTTAGTTTGGATACATCGCCGGAAATCATTACCGGGTGGCTGGAGATGGATGAAGATTGCCCGACTTCAGAATTTCTGTCCGAGGAAGAAATATTAACGGGCTGCAAGGCTACATCGGACTGCGAAAGTGATGGCGAGAATTCTAATAATGCAGGCCTAAATGACAATGACGACGACAATGTCGTTGAAAAGGTCAAAATTTTGCTCACAGAAGCCCTTATTGCTGTAGAAACTGTTGTAAGATTTACAGAGGAGCAAAATGCGGAAAATATCGAAATCATTCATCTTTGGCGAAAGACAGACTTCATAAGAAAGAAAAAAAATGCGAGCCAGAAAGAGCAGAAAATAACAGCGTTTTTTTCTAAGTGAATCATAAACACTTTTTTCAGCATGGCCCTCTTAACCCACAGTCCGTTAACACGTGGTCATTATGGCTTGACTCCCGACATCCGTACGTAAATGGGTCTGCCTAGTCCTGGACCCCACTGTATTAGGTGCTGTACAAACACAACAAAATGATCATCCTGTCCCACAGCCCATACTGACAACAAATTTTAGATTGTATGTCCACTGAGAACTGGACTGCCAATGTCCATATCTGATAAAAGAAGCTGTGCAGCTACCCACCTCCACTCCTGCGTATTACACAAATATGATGAGTCGTTGTCCTCTCTTGTAAAGATGCCAAAACAAGTACTTCTTAAAAAAAATAAAATAAAATAAAAAAAATCATGTTTAAAAAAAAATATCTTCAGAGTTTCAGGGGCTTTAAAATGTCTTTAAGCAAGAGTTTACACCACAACTCAGTTATCAAGTATATGTTCGTATTTTTTATTACTTCAGGAAAAGCAAATATTCTTCATGTTGAAGGACTGTTCTAAAAGATTAGATTTTTTTAAAGAGAAGTTCTATTGGTTGTAGAATATTTTTTCTGCCATTCAGCAACTCTAAAATGCCATACTTACAACACAACTATACTTAAAAGTATTCTACATTTCCTACTTAAAATGGAAAGTGAACTTGGCTAAAAGTGTTGGCACAAGCCAACTTTTAAATACCAGCAACGTTTTGTTATGTTAAATAATCATGATGCTGAAAAATCTTTAGCATTATAGTATATCAGGGGTCAGTAACCGACGGCATGCGAGCTGATTTGTAATGGCACGCTGCTGCCTGCCAGGTCCCAGCCTCCGGCCCCGCTCAGCCTGCTGCCAGCCCAGATGAACGTTCGGAACCCCAGGCTGGCAGCGGGCTGAGCGGGCCAGCGGCGTAAGATCAGCATTTTAATTTAATTTTAAATGAAGCTTCTTAAACATTTTGAAAACCTTGTTTACTTTACATACGACAATAGTTTAGTTATATAATATACAGACTTATAGAGAGAGACCTTCTAAAAAACGTTAAAAGGTATTACTGGCACGCGAAACCTTAATTTAAAGTGAATAAATGAAGACTCAGCCCACCACTTCTGAAAGGTTGTTGACTCCTGTGGTATATCAAGAAAAAACCGAAAAATACCCCAGAACTTTGAGATTTACTTACCATCAATTTAACAGACTTAGGTACAACTTAGCCACTTGCCTAGAAAATAGGACACTGCAGCTTCTTTATTAAAGTCATTTTAGACCTAAAAATAAAATGATTGCTTTAGTAACCAGTTAATTTGAGAGATTAGGATTTTTAAATATGAACATTTCGTCTTTATTTAAAGTGATAATTGGCGAAATCAGATCTCTCTGATAAGGTACAAGTATAGAACAGATTTTGCCAGTGATGACAGAGATGGTACTACCTTTCTTAGAGCTTCAGACCAACAAGTCAGTCTTTCAGATATTTCAGACCTGTCCCATGATATGGAGTAGGGTCTGATTCTACAACAAATTCCTCTTTACAGAAATGAAAAGAGCAAAAAACCCTGCTGCAAGCAACTATAATTTTGGTTTTCCAAATCAAAGTCTATTATGGTGCAACTCACGTATGCAAGACTTTAGTACATCGGAGTTTGAGGGCTGTCTCTCTAGCACTGGGCAGGGATAACAGAGTTGGGTAGATGGATTTAGGACCTCTCCTCACATTCCCCCCCCCCCCCCGAGTATAAGCATTTGTTTATTGTGTTAAGATACCTGTGGGCTATCTAGGTACTGATTTGGCCCCATCACTGCAAACCCAGACCACCCTCCACACTTTGAGCCTACCACAGTGCTAGCCCACAGAGAGGAGTGGGTTGGGAGCTCTGCCCTGGCCAAGAGTGGGCTACTTTGCCATGGAAAGGGCTGTAGTGAAGTCCAAGAGTTAGCTGGGCCCTGATGCACAAAGATACTTCCAAACCCGAGATTTAGGTGTTCAAGTCTCAAGTTAGCCTCCTGCAGGGTTTGGCAGGAGTTTTGGGGATCACAAAGGAGCCGAAACTCACTCAGTGAGTAAGTTTTCAGGGTAAAAGTTCCCCTCCGCATCTAAATTTCAGCCTCTCCACTTGTGCGCAGCTCTCTGGGCACCTATCTCTCACCTAAATTCCCGACCAATTCATGAACAGGGAGAAGATTTGCCTTTTGGCGTTCGCTGGCCTATCTCACACACAGGGCCTGATCTTGTACATGTGCTCAGAGGCTGCCAACCACATCAGGTCTTCTGGGGCTACATCAACTCATCTAGATATTTGCCTAGTTTTACAACAGGCTACATAAAAAGCACCAGCGAAGTCTGTACAAACTAAAATTTCATACAATGACTTGTTTATAATGCTCTATATACTATACACTGAAATGTAAGTACAATATTTATATTCCAATTTATTTTATAATTATATGACAAAAATGAGAAAGTCAGCAATTTCTCAGTACTAGTGTGCTATGACACTTTTGTATTTTTACGTATGATTTCAAGTAGTTTTTAAGTGAGGTGAAACTTGGGGCTACACAAGACAAATCAGACTCCTGAAAAGGGTACAATAGCTTGAAAAAGTTGAGAGCCACTGAGTTAGAGTGCTCAGTTGGGAGGCGTGGATTCACCTCTTGCGGCGGAGAAAGAGTTTGAACAGGAGTGGCCCCCTCTCCGGGGGGGGGCTGTAATCAGGGAGGTGGGGGCAATCTGACGTGGGGCTGCCCCCTGAGTGCCCCCACAGGAACTGTTCCACTGTGAGTCCCCTAGCACTTGGGGCTGGGGCGGTGCTGGGCAGCAGGGGCACTGGGCCCTTCCCCAGGACCACGCGCTGCACTGTGCCGCCTACATCCCTTGGTTACTCCTGGGGGAATCCTGCGCCACTGCACATGCACAAAATTTGTGTCCCCTGCAGATTGCTTTGCTTCCCCACAGAAAAATGACTTTCTGACAGGAAAGCAAAGGGAAGCCACAAGAGTGGTCACGTGACAGTTTCAAGCAGTATGTTTCGGGTGCCCAGGACAGTCAGCAAAGAGGTAAATCACTGTGGGGCAGAGGTCAGGACTGGGGAAGACCTGGTTGGTGGCACCTACCCTGCGCCAGGGTCAGCTGCTAGCATGGCATCCGGGGCCGGGTCAGACCTACCCCCCAGATTTCTCCCCCAGTTGAAAGAATCTCCCACCTTTCCCATCACTCCTCAGCTGCAGGGGGAGGGATCCCTGTACAGGGAGCTGCTCTCCCATCTGCCCAAGCCCCCTGTACCCAGACCCTCACCCAACCCCCAGAATCCCCCCCTTAAACCTGGACCACCCCAATGAGCCACCCTACCAAGCCATCTGGATTCCCACCCTACCAAGCCCCAACCACCTTCAGCCGGATCCCCCTGCAGAGTCCCATTTCCATTGCATCCAGATCCCCCACAACAAGACCCTGTATAGCCAGATCCCCCCTGCACCCGGATCGCCCACTGAGCTGCCCGCACCCAGATTACCTCACCCAGAACCCCTCTCAACCCACACCTGTATCCCCCCCTCCCAGCGCCTCCACACTTGGATACTGCCTGCCTCCACCTGGCATGGAGGAGTAGGGACCTGGGGTGTTTCTGGGCCAGGCCCGGTCCTTGTGTTGTGTTAGCTTTGCGTGCAGCTATCTAGAGGGGGAACTGCACAGTGATCTCCCACCTCCGTGCAGCCAGTGGCCCGTGCTTCCCAGTGCCACACGGGAGCCTCCACATTTATGTGGTAAATAAAATTTGCAGAATTTTAAAATATTGTGCGCACAGAGTTTGGGGGCGCAGAACGGTCCGGGTCCAGTGACGGGGCTGAACAGGCCGCGCGCTCAGAGGCCCACCACGGCCAGACCGACCCGCGCGCGGGGTCCTGCGACCCCTGGACAGCCCCGGGCGCTCCCGCCCCCACCCACAGCCTCACGCGCTGGAGGCGCGGCCTGGAAACTCAGCAGCGGCCTCCCGCCCCCGCGCGTCTGGGGACAACCCCGTGAGCGCCCCGGCCGCGGAAGAGGAGACTCACCGCACAGACCCCGCCAGGCCCAGCCGAGTAGCCGCCGCCGCCGCCGCCGCTTACCCGCCGCCAGCGGGTCCAGCCCCCACCTCCCCGGACCAGCCCATTGGAACGGGAGGGGGAAAGGGAACAACAGCCGCGGGAGCCTGGTCGCCCGTCACACTATCCTCCCCCGGCAGTTGGTCTCTCCCGGAGGCTCGCTCCGGCAACTGCGCGGCCAGCCCCGCCCCAGCGCATGCGCAGGAAGTGACCGACTCTGCTGGCAGGGCGAAATGGCGGCGTCTGCTGGCGCGGCGTCGCGGGGGTTAGCGAAGCGGCTGTTCCGACCCCCAGCGGGAGCGGTGAGTGCGCCCCGCCTCACGGGCAGCCGGCCCCTGCAGAGGGGCGGGGTGTTGGATCGGCGTCTCCCTGCGTGGGAGCCGGTCAGCCCGAGGGGGCCTCTCAGACGGGTCTAACCCGCTCGCCTAGCGCGCGCGCGCGCGCACGTGGCGGCGGGGGGAGCCGCGGGCTGCCCTGGCCCCCCCTGCAGCTCCCCCCTCCCCTCCGGGCAACAGACGCCGGCTCGGCTCCTCCTCCGCCGTGGCTGTGCTGCTGGGGCGGGGGCTGCCGTACGAGCCTCGTGCCTGAGCTCGCCTAGCCTGAAGATCAGACCTGATGTTAAAGCTCTCCCCCCCCAGCCCCGTTCCCCCTCCGGGTGCCCTTGCAGCGAGAGGGGCCGGCCCAGCAGTCTCTGGCATTGGCTGCCCCCCACCCCTCTGTTCGCCGCCAGTCTCAGTAGACGCGAACGAGATGGACAAAGGGGTGGGGGAGAAAAGCGAGGCTCTGAGGGGTGAAGTGACTTGCCCAAGGTCACCCAGCTGGTGGGAGGCAGAGCCTGGTAGGGAACCCAGCCCTGGCAGCCCGCAGTGTGGTGTCCTGTCCACTGGTCCCTGCTGCCTCCCCTCTACCTCCTTTGCCTCTGTTTTAGCAGGTAGACAAGTGACACCTCTAAGGGTCTTAATTTCAAAGGCCTGTACAATCTGCTTCTGTGGTATCTTTTTGGGATTTGACCTCAGGTACCAGGGATTCAGTGGCAGGAATTTAGTTCTTGAGAAGCAGTGTCTTTCTTTAGCAGCCTTATTTAAAAAGTGGGTAGAGGAATACAGCAGTCATGATAGCGTGTTAGTAGAAAGGCTTTCAAAGAAACTCCAGTATTCTCAAGGAGGCCAACGTGGCCTGGCTCTTTTAAATAGCCTGGTGTTTTATTAAACAACAAGGCAACGTGTTTGAGGTTTTATTGGAGTACGGAGTATCTCATCCGTTGCTTTAAATGAATTAATAGTATTTTGCTATAAACAAATATTTGAAAGTTACATACATTTAAAGTGTTTGGAGTGGGGTTGTTAATAAATGGACTATGAGCCGATAAAGCAAGGAATTATATATGAAAACAGATAGTTTCAGGGGAGCTGGGATGCACAGTACACTTGATGCTTTTCATTCCCCCCTCACTTTCTTTCCTCCACCTGCAGTGACCTAGTCCTTGTCTTATTTTACTCCATTGTCACACTGAAATTAACAAAGGCAGGGTAATTAGCCTTTTTATTAGTAGAAACTTCTGTAGTGAATGACCACACTATTACTATTTATTACAGTAGTACCTAGAGGCTCTAAGTAGGATTGGGATCCCTTTATGTGCTAGGAACAGTAAGTAACAAGATCAGAAACAGTCCCTGCCAAGACATATTAACAACCTAAATAAACAGGGTGGTGGGGATATTGAGGCACAGAGAAAAGTGACTTGTGTAAGGTCTCCTAGCTCTCAGGCCTGTGCCCTGACTACAGGATTCTACTGTGTCTCCACTAGCCAGATTAGGAGATGGGTTTGGTAGGAAAGGCTGTTGAGTGACAGATAGCTTCATCTAACTTTTCGTAAATTGTTTTCTACTCCAAAAGTTTCTAGATACTCTGGTTAACTGAAGATGTTTCAAAACATGTCATTCTGTTGTACCATAAATATTTATTTCAGTGACAGTTGTGGTTCTTGGAATTTCGCATTCTGAACAAGAAGTACAAAGAAGTACAGAGATGATTTCCAAGGGGGAAAAACTGATTTTAAAAAGGCTAAAACGTATTTCTGGACTTAGTTCTGCCACTGCCTAAATAGTGGGGGCATTTTGCATAGGGATATGTGCTTAATTACAGTTTCAGTTTTGCTTTGCAGTTTTCCTATTGCAGTCAAAACTTCTATACTCACTCAAAACTAATATTGAAAAGAACTGATGGACCTCAGTGAGAAATATTGAAAGTGAGCCAGTGACTTGAATGCATTGATTTTTAAAGGTTTTATATAAAATAAATAGGAAGGAAATATGTGTCTTAATGTAGTGGTCCATAAATTTTTCCACTGAATTTTATGGAATTCCAAAATTTTGACTTAAGAGATATAATAAAGAGAAGCAGGCTGGCCTACAAGTCACTGCCTGTGCCATTCTGCCAGGCTGCAGAGGAGCGCCAAAAAAAGGCAAGGGCATGTGTTAGAACAGGATGTATGTTTCCTGCCTGTTGTTGGAGGATGCTTTCCTAGTTATTGCTGAGGAGTTAGGCTGGCTAAGCAGAGTCCTTTCTCTCAGCTATATGGGGGCAATCTGCCTTTCAGCTTGTCCCCTTCCTCTTCTTGACAGCGTCTCAGTACCGAGCTCAGAGTGCAAAGGACAAGCTGGGAGGAAAAAGTCTCCTGTGTAGTAGCAGGGGCAGCAACTTCCACCACTGTGTGGAACAGGCTGTGAGGAAGACTGTCCTCAGACCTGTTGGGAGAAGGAGGGAAAAAGTAGGCCGTCACATGTGGCAGTGAAAGGAGCTTGCTAGAAGAGGGGGAAAGATTGAATTGTAGTGTTTAGGCAAACAGGAATAATAAAACATTTTCAAGCCTTGCCTACCTTTCTCTAGTTGTTGCAGCTCTGCTGTTTTGAATTTACGTAATATCAAGGGAGCCAAAAATAATAAAAACAACAAGGAGTCGAGTGGCACCTTAAAGACTAGTGGTTTATTTGAGCATAAGCTTTCGTGGGTAAAAACCTCACTTCTTCAGACGCACGAAAGCTTATGCTCAAATAAATCTGTTAATCTTTAAGGTGCCTCCGGACTTGTTGTTGTTTTTGTGGATACAGACTAACATGGCTAATAAAGAATGTTAGTACAGTAAATTGGATACCTAGGGTGTATTGTATAATCTGTTATACAAAAGGTTACTGTATGTCTTAAAATCACAGTTGAGTAACTAAATGCTCTTATTTGTACATATAATCTTTTAATTTGTTAAATTTACTTTGTTATAAATGAAACTTTACATAGTTTAATTTTTAAAATGGCCAAAACAAAAAATTCATGGGACATTAAAGTATTCGGTGTAGTGAAAAATGCATATTGATAATACTTACCTACTTCAGAACTAGTATGCAAATGTAACTCATGGAACTGATTATCACTTTTCCTGAGTATTCCCCAGGTATGTCTACACAGCAACTAGACATTTTTCTTTGATGTATAGACATACCCCCACACCCATTTCTACTTGTATGTATGACACACAAAGGCTTCATTATTTGGATTGTCCACTAACTCAGGATTTGTGCAGCCAGTGAATATGAAGTGAGATATTCTGATGAGATCTTCATCCTTGTTCTATAGGCTTCTGTGCAGCATGTTTCTGAACAAAGCCCCCAGTGAATATACTGCAGAAATGTTCATGCATACATTTTGAATCTTAAATAGGAGGAACGCTACCACAGCTATAATTTGTATTCAGAAATCTGAGCTTCAGCAGTTCTGATGAACAGGAAAATGTTGAAAATGAACCTGCTAAATGGTTCATTTTGTTATCCCATTTCTAGAGCCTTCTAAATCAGGGGAAATATTATGAATGTTTGCAAACCATACAGATGGAAGGTCCCCACAGTGGTTAGGATTGTATTGACTGGCAAATAGTTTGAAAATCTACCTACTTCTGGAAATGCAAACTAAATGTTCCAAATACTACAGTGTGAGCTAATTGGCACATAATTGACTAAAAACTTAGGCCTGGTCTGCACTACAGACTTAGGTAGATGTCAAGGCAGCTTACGTCAACCTATGTAAGCATCTACTACACTACGCAGCTTTTAATGACACGGCTGTGCCGCTACAGCCAAGCTGCGCCACTTAAAGGCGTGCAGCATAGCTGCTGTTTGTTGGCAGGAGAGCGCTCCTGCCGACAAAGCGCTGTTCACACCAGCACTTTTCGTCGGTAAAACTTCGTCTGTGTGTGTGCGTGTGTGTGTTTTAACACCCCTCAATGACGAAAGATTTGTCGACAAAGTTCCAGCATAGACAAAGCCTAAAATTTGCTCCCACTGACATAACTTACCCACTACTCTGCCTTAACTCCACCTCCACGAGAGCCAGAGTGTCAGTATCAATGTAGTTAGGTCGACACAGTGTCAGTGTAGACACTGTGTTACTTGCATCGACTGTTGCTGGCTTTCAGAAACCATTTCTCAATGACAAAAACAAGAAGAAGTCCGGTGGCACCTAAAAGACTAACCAATTTATTTGGGCATAAGCTTTCGTGGGTAAAAAACCCACTTCTTCAGATGCATGGAGTGAAAATTACAGATGCGGGCATTATATACTGACATATGAAGAGAAGGAAGTGGAGATAACTCCTTTCCCTTCTCTTCTTATGTCAGTATATAATGCCCGCATCTGTAATTTTCACTCCATACATCTGAAGAAGTGGCTTTTTACCCATGAAAGCTTATGCCCAAATAAATCGGTTAGTCTTTAAGGTGCCACCTGACTCCTTATTGTTTGTGTGGATACAGACTAACACAGGTAAGTACACGGATACCTAACAATGACAGTTAATTGGTGCAAGCGCTCTTGGTGAGCATGTGCACCACTGGTATGAGCAAAGCGTAGATAAGCACAGGCAATGTAATTAGCGTGATGTCTGTACGCTGATGTAAATTATGTTGGCTTAATTTTGTACTGTAGAATGTGCTTAGTTACTGTGTCATGTAGCAAAGTGTTTCTGTAAAATAAGGATCTTAAACGTTTCAAAACTGCACGTATTGTGGGTTTTTCTTGAACATCAGGATTCCGACTGTTTCCAGCCTGCCCTAGACTTCAATGTTGGATGTTATGTTGTCAGCTAAGCCCCTGATTCTGAGGCAGAAGCTTGTGTTGGGATGTCATGTAGTTA